GGAGTCTTTCTTCCCAAGTGCAACTTCCCAAGCCTAGCCTTTACACTCTGCTTTTCTGTCAGCATTCTGGTCTTGCGAGCACTGGCCACAACTTCCCAACAAGCTTGGTTTACAGCACACTATGGCTGCTTCTGGAACTAGCATCTCCAAACCTTTGCAAACTCCTCCCAAGAATCAGCTTCAAAAGCTTCTGAACCATGTGGGCAGGCTGTGGCACAGCAGTGACCTAACCTCATTTTGACACACTGATGCATTTGTTTTTGTCACTTTCGAAGCAGTTCTATTTTGTATCTTTAGTTGCACCATCACGGTTGCCTCAATGTCCTGAATGGATTCAAAATATTTACCTTTCATGGTCATTTTGACTTTAAAGAAGAGCCATAGTTGCATGGTGTCAGGTCTGGTGAATAAGGTGAGGGAAGACACACCAATTTTTCTATGAGCTTGGCAGCAGCATTCGCTGTATTTTTTATCATACCTCATAAACACACTCAGAAATGGTAAGAACAATGGCATAAGTCTGTTTGAAGTGTGTGTGGGGTTAATTTGAGAGGGTTTAATGGCAATGTGTCTTTTACTGTAGGAAATTTTAAAAATTTAAATAAGCCAGCCAGATAGCTCAGTGGACTAAAGTGCCTGCTTAGGCAGAGGGCAGTGGCTGCCTGCTGGCCCTGCCCCCAGGTGCACTGAGCCGGGGATTGAGACTAGGTGTGGTGGTACACACCTGTAATCCCAGCGCTTGGAAGGCTAAAAACAGGAGGATCACTATAAGTCCAATCTACCTAGTGAGACCCTGTAGATCCTATAGACCCTGTACCAAATACATAAATAAATAAAAATGTAAGTATTTACCCTATATTTTGACTACTTCTTGTACATATAAGAAAAATCATAGTATATGTAGGTTTCCATTCTATCTACATTTCAGGCATCTGAAGAATGTATCCTGCAGATCAGGGGGGCTACTGTGATCATGTCTAGTTTTGATGAGTGTTAAGTCACCTGCCTGGACCAAGGGAAGAATTCACCATCCTAGGCTTTATTGTACCCTTTACCTGAAAGATATGGGGTTTCTAAAATCAAGGAATAGAAACGGACAACTATTGGGAAAACATACAATTGTAACTTCCCTACCAACTCTCCCTGCTTAAGAGCATCCTGGCAAAATTGCATCCTCAGTGATTTCTATCAAATGGTTGGGAAGTTCAGAGTCTTTCTTATTGTGTAGTTCGTTCCAATGCTTTCTCACTGCATGGTTTTTCTTAGGCCAGACACATTTCAATTAAGCTTGCATCTGTGAAGGCAGGCTATTTTGCTCAACTCTATGTTTTCCACATGCTAGCAAACCCACCCTGGAATTTAATGGATAGTAAAGTTATGCAAAGAATCCCTGTGTGCAACAAGATCTGGGACTGTTTGCGAAGCCCACCTCTAATACAAACATGTAAGCACGCCAGTCCACTCTGTGCATAGGACCTGCTCCCAAATAACTCCTCCGTCTATTTGCCACACTGTGGAGCAAACAGACTTTTATTCTCTTGATTAAAATAACAGGAAGTGTCACTATTCTTAAGGTCTTGGTATTTAGAACAGAAATGTAACCACAACAGTATAACTCGGAGATTCTTCTGTGGTCTACTGGCAAGGCATCGGGTTCCATCCCTGGCTTGGAATGGAAATGGTCTTGTGTCTGGAGCAATGCTCAGCCTTCTGGGAGGACCCAAGGCAAGAGGTCTAAACTCTTCTAAAGGAGTGCTCTGTACAGATGGCCTCAAAGGGGCCTCTGCCTCTTCAGCCAGTCTGGTAGGTCATGGAAATTCTACTCTTGCAAAGAGAGCTCTGGGTACAAGAGGAGTGTTTCTTCAGTATTTACTTTGACCAGGGAAGTAGCCATGACAGATTTTTTTTTCCTCAAGACACAAACTGACATTTTAAAGGAGAAACCACGCTTTGGGTGCCACCGTGTCATTAAAAAATAATATTAGACTAAAAGCCCCAAGGAATGTCTGCTTAAGCACAGCTGCCCAAAGCTTCATGTTTCAAGGCAAATTTAGCCACTTCTTACAGCCAGGGGAACAAGACTTCTGGGTTAGCTTCTTCTCTGTTTGTGCTGCTTCTTGTACTCAGTGACAGATTCTAAAGCAGTGACATCCTTTTGGTTCACACCCCGCCTTTGCTTCTTCTGCTGTTAAATGCATGCTGTGTTGTAACCTGACTGCCCCCCCCCCCCACCATGCTTATGTTTTATTTTCCCAATCAGATTGTGAGCTACTCAAGGTCAAGGGTCAGGTCTTGCTTTTTTTTTTTTTTTTTTAGCATCTTGCAGAATTGGGTTTGTTGTGGTCAGCTTGCAGGAAATGGCTGTTGAATGGATGAATTAATGAAAGAATGATGGAAGCTGGAGAACAGTGGTAGGTGAGTTGCTAGGCAGCCTGGTAAAGAGGATTACAAGAGTCAGGTCAGATTAGCCAGAGCCGTGCTGGAGGGGAAAGAATGCTGGGTTTTGAGCCAGTGAACACAGGCCCTAGTCTGAGGCTGGCTTGCTTGCCTTCACTCTATTCAGTAGACATTTCTTAATTTCTCTGGAGCCGAGTAGGTGTTGCAGCAGGCACTGCATATGACAACATCCCTGTCCTCCAGGGGGACTGGTGGTGGAAAGCGAAACTGGTAGAGATGGAGGGCTGTAGGAGATGTGTGTGACAGGAGATATGATCACATGGCAAGTACTGGCACAGGGAAGCAGGAAGGGACTTCTACGCCAGACTGTGGTTTCCACGAGAGCTTTGTACCCGAGGAACTCGGATTCCAGTCTTGCATGATAAATGGATGTTGGGTTATGATTCACTGGTTATTTCCCTGTAAGTAAAGGGGCTAGTATATAATGATGCCCTACATCATAAAACAGGACAAGCTAACATCTTAGCTGAGGGATGGCTATGGCAGGAGATGAAGTTAGAGAGGTAGGTAGTGCATACTTTCACAGGGCTGTAGGGCAATTATAAGTTAGGGGTCAAGGGTAGAGATTTAGAGATCATACCAAACTGAGTTCAAATCTCAGCTCTGGTGCCTACCAGGCAAGTGACAATATGTGACTCTTAATCTCTGTAAGCCCTAGTGCCCTTAGAACTACATTTAACTTTCAATCATTCATTGCTACAAACAAAACATCCCTAAATAAATATCCCTTAAAACAATGTATGTTTATTAATTCTCAGCTGGGTCCTCGCCTTTAGAGGGCTCACACAGGGCTGCTATCAGTCAGCCTGGCTGAGGTCAGACTCCACTGGGGAGGAATCGGCTTCTCTACTCTCTTGCAAGGTCTGTGGCAGAATTCAGTTCCTTGTTGGCTGCCCGCCCAGGGCTGCCCTCAGTTCTCTGTTATGTGTCCCTTCCTAACAGGACAGCTCGCATCATCAGATTCAACAAGCATCTGCTAGCAAGATAGAAGGCACAGTATCATGCAGCCCAGTCACTGAAGTGACTGCTCATTGTTGGTGCCACACTCTTGCTGTGGGACAGCATGAAGGTCAGCCCACACACCCAGAGCAAGACTGGCCCAGGGTGTGGTATGGGGAGCCCTGGGGAGACTTTTTTTTTTTTTTTTAAAATGTATTTGGTACAGGGTCTCACTAAGCAGCTCGGACTCATAGTGATCCTTCTGTTTTAGCCTCCCCAGCACTGGGATTACAGGTGTGCGCCACCATGCGGTACTGGGGATCGAAACCCGGTCCTTGCATTGCCTAGGCAGGCGTTTAGACTGCTGAGCTATCTGCAAGCCAGAGAGACCATGTTGGAGGCCACCTGCACCCCTGATGTATGTGTTTGAGGCTTCATTTCCTCCTCCCAAAGGTGAAAATATGTGACCCGAGAAAAAGTGGGAAAATACATGTGTAAGAACAAATTCATTTTTTTGTAAAAGCAAATTTACAGCCCTCTATAGACTGAGGAAGCAGACTGTCTTGGGCCAATTTTCCATTTTATGTTGACTGAGTCTGATGATGTCTTCAAGGATTTTAGTATTTTGTCCCAGGTCCACCAGGGTGTGTACAGCTGGAATCAGCACCGACAAAGAGAAATTCGTCTTTCCAGACAGAGTCCTTTCCGGAGTGTCCCAGGGTTAGCCTTTGCTTTGCTTTCCAAATACCTTTGCTTGGAAGAATCCCGTTGGGGGGCAGTCCCCGAGAGAGAGAAAAAAACCAGACTATCTGGTAAATTTCAAACACTTGATAATAAAATGGTAATAAAAATCTCTTGTGGCTCCCGAGGCTTAGAAAAAGGGATGTTTGTGGTGGATGGGGACCCGGCAACCGCACAGCAGCTTTCCAGGTCGCACGGATCCCTGTCCTGCTGGGCAGCTCGGGTTACCCGCTGGGCAGCCGCCTTCGAGGGCTGCAGGCGCCCGGCAAAATCCCAAATGACCCCTCCCAGGGCAGGGTGCTGCCATAAGGGACCCTCAGCTCAGATAGCAAACCAGCACACTGCACCCCGTCGGATTCGTGTCTTCGCAGGAGCAGGGAGCCATCTCCCCGCCCCTGGAGGTATGGATCTGGACAGACCCACACAGCATTTCAGAGTGGCGAGTTCTCCACGCGGACCCCGCGGAGGGTCTCCAGCCCTGGGGAATACATACAAGACGGGGCTCCCCTTTCCCAGGGCCCGGCCTCTAGGGCAAGGGTGTCCGGCACCCGTGGCAGGACGCAGACCTCTCGCTGCAGCCACCCACCCACCCGCGCTCGGCCTGCCCCGCTCGCACGTCGCGCCCCAGGTCCTCGCGGGCCGTCAGGTCCCGGAAGCGGGGCCCGCGGGTCACCCCCGACGGGGGACCCCGGGAGCTCTCAGGGAGCGCAGGACGGGCGCCTGGAGCAGCCCAGCCACTGCTCCGAAAGCGTAATGAGAACCAGATGTGGCTGGCGCTGCGCGACTTTCTCAGAGCTCGTGATTGGTTCCTGGCCAAGGCCGGCAGCCAATCGGCGCGCGGGGCGGGCCCGCGGGGACCCAGGTTCGAGGCCGGTGGGGCTGGCAGGGACGCGCGGTGGTGGGGCAGCCCTCGGGCGGAGCGAGCATGCCGGGGAACCGGGCGGCCTGGCCGCCGTCGCCACCGCTGCCGCTGCTGCTCCTGCTGCTGTCGCGAGCCGCGGCGCTGCGCCCAGACGAGCTCTTCCCCTACGGGGAGTCGCGGGGAGACCAGCTCTTGCAGGAAGGCGACGACGAGAGCTCGGCACCCCTGCAGCTGGCGCTCCCGCTGCGCTTCTTGGATGCCCAGTTCGGCAGCCTCTTCGTAAGTTCAGCGCCTCTGGGGGCGCTCCCCGGCGCGCGTACTGCTGCTTCTTGGGGATCGGGGAAGGGATCCGCTCCCAGGAACCCTGCCTTCAGAGGAGGAAAGAGCCCAGGCTCCGCCGTCCTCCCAGGAGAAGTAGCTTTGCCTCAGTACAGCTGCGGGAGCCCGCGTGGGGGAGGAAGCCTTGCCCTGCCCTGCCGGGGAAGTGAGAACCGTTTCCAGCCACGTCTGCGCCCGGGGCAGCGAGGAAGGCAGGGCTCGCAGCGAGGGCTGCGAGAAGGCTGTGCGCATCTGCACAGCTGGGCGCTGTGTCCCTGGGAGCTCCAGGGCCGTTTGGGGCGTGAGAAGGTGGGCGAGTTCAGGGCACCCAGACCCGTGGCGCCGCGCAGTGACCGTCGCCGTAGTGGCACTGGACCCCCAGCCAGAGAGGAAGAAGAGGCTTTTCGCCCCTTCTTTTCTCGTGGGGCCGGCTGGAGCCGCGGTGGCCGCGCCCTGGGGACTGAGTGAGTGACCGTCACCGTTTTGTCCCTCTCGCCTCCTAGGTGGGCACCAACGGCATCATCTCCACCCAGGACTTTCCCAGGGAGACCCAATATGTGGACGATGATTTCCCTACCGACTTCCCGGCCATCGCCCCCTTTCTGGCAGACATCGACACGAGCCAGGGCAGGGGCCGGGTGTTGTTCCGCGAGGACACCTCGCCGGCTGTGCTGCGCCTGGCTGCCAGCTACGTGCGCACCGGCTTCCCGCGCTCCGCCGCCGGCTTCATCCCCACCCACGCCTTCCTGGCCACCTGGGAGCGCGTCGGCGCCTACGAGGAGGTCAGGCGGGGGGCTCAGCCCTCTGGGGAGGTAAGTGACCGAGGGACCCGACCACCCCCGCTGAGCGAGCCTAGCCGCGGGCTTGAATTCCGAACAGGAACCCAGGGACCAGCTGGGAGTTCCTTCTGAGTGTGCTCTTGTATTGAACTTTTGGTGGTACCAGCGCTCGGAGGCCTGGGAGGTGCAGAGGGTCGTTCCCCCCCCCCCCCAGTCTTCTGAGGCTCTGACACGTGGTCGCTGTCGCAGGGAAAACTGGTTGGGATAAATGAGAACCAGAGTGGCTTTGCCAAAGATCCTGGGAACACAGGGCAGTTTATTGTTAGACTCACCTGTTAGTTTGCAGGTAGTTTTGGTTATATATGTCCATTAAAAGAAAGATTAGAAAACACTAGAAATTTTAAAGAGAGCGAAAACTCGTTTTTTTTTTTTGTTACTGTTAAACATTTCTTTTTAATGTAGGTTTTCCAGCATCTTTCTGCATATTTATTGCTGATTGTTAACAAGAATGAGTTTCCATTGCCAATGCTGTAATGTAGCTTGCTTGTTTAGATTAGGGTATCTTGAATATGTTGCATTGTCAATAAATATGTTTCTATGACATTATTTATAATGACTGTGTGATATTTCAGTTTATTGGCCACAGATTTCTCAACCCGTGTTCCCAGTGACCATTAAAGTCATGCCCTTGTTTTCATTATTATAAATAATACCAGGAAGAACTTTTTAGAAAACTACAATCTTTGCACATCCCAGGAAGTACAACTGGGCCAGAGGGAATGTACTTTTTGGAAGATCCTTTATAGCTTTTGCCAGTTTGCCCTCCAGATTCCAGTTTACACGATCTTTCATTTACTGGAGACTGCCTGAGAAGTGTTTTATCGTCTCTATCTGCAGAAAGGAAAACAACCTAGGCTCCAGACTTTGGTCTTGGGAAGCAAGGTTGGAAGTATTCCAAATAAACATTGGGTGGGGCCAAGGTAGTTTGGTAAATGGCAAATTGCCTCATTTCTGGAGTAGGTAAAAAATTCCTTCTGTGCAGTTATACCCATGCTGGGCATGGGGATGCATTCCTGTAATCCCAGCACTCAGGAGACTGAGGCAGGAGAATGCTTGTGAATTCGAGACCAACCTGGGCTACAAAGTGAGCTCAAGGATAGCCTAAACTGTATAGTGAGAACTTGTCTCAAAAAGACAAAAGAAAGAAAGAAAGAAAGAAAGAAAGAAAGAAAGAAAGAAAGAAAGAAGGCCCAAATATAAATCATCATGCTGCAAGGGCTGAAACAATTTTTTTTTTCGGGTACCAGGGATTGAACTCAGGACCTTGTGCTTGCCAGGCAGGCGCTTAAGCCACTGAGCCATCTCCCCAGCCCAAGAAACCATCTTATTTATTTTAACTCATCATCCTGTTTCTTAGCTGTGGGTGGTGCATCTGAAGCTTGCTCATGGTCACTGCCTAGTCAAGATGGTGGCCTGATGGTCTGTGTTCTTAGTGTCCGAGTGTTGTGTCCTAAAACCTGTACTAAGCAAAGAAGACCTAAGAATCAAGATCATTTGAATTGATGGAGGGTCAGTTCAAACAAACACTGAGCATCTTTGCATGGAGTACAAGCCAAGTGCTGAGGACACAAAGACAATAAGGAAAGCCCCTACCTTTATGTTTCATTCATTCATTTTTGTTTATAAGTGCAAAAAACATAATTAAAAACCAGGCATGGTGGCACATGCCTGTAATCCCAGCACTTGGGAGGTTGAGACAGGAAGAGCTCTGCAAGTTCGAGGCCAGACTGGAGGCTACAAAATGAGCACATAACCAGCCTAAACTTCATAGCAAGACCTTGTCTCAAAAAAAAAAAAAAAAATATATATATATATATATATATGTATAATTAAAATTAAATATCACATGCTGATGATAGTAGAAAACTAAATGTTATTTATAATTCCACTAACTTGAAAGTCACCAGTGCTAATACTTTATTATACATTCTTATAGCTATTTTACAAAACTGAGGACATATTTTTGTGCATATAAGTTATATTCTAACACCATTGAGATTTATTCATTCAACAAACCATGATTGTACTTACTGTATGTCAGCATAGGGATAGACACTGTGAAAGGACATAATTTTCATCCAGTGGGACTCATATTTGTTGGGGACCCTCAATGGTTTTCAGTGGAATAAGTAGTCTCTTGGCTTAAGGATCCTGGCCCTGACTTTTCCTGTTCAGGGTGTATATGTGGGAAGGTTTCCCTGAGAAAGTAACTTTCAGTCTGCACTGAGTAGAACATTCTCGATGGACTGAATCACATGTGTCACCCTTGTGCTATAAAATAGGATATGTTAGGACACTGTAGATGGCATTTGGTTACAAAGACACAGAGCCGGAGAGGCCTGGGAAGCCAGGAGCCCAGGTGGGTCATGTTCTGGGAGAGTTTGCGTTTGGTCCTTAAGTTGTAGTAGTGAACATTTGCAGTATTTTAGGCAGGTATTTCTGGTTTTATTTTGTTTTGTTTTATTTATTTATTTATTTATTTATTTATTTATTTTTTGGCAGAACCGGGGATTGAACTCAGGCCCTTGCGCTTGCCAGGCAAGCGCTTATTCTACTGAGCTATTTCCCCGGCCCCAGCTATTTTCCCGGCCCCTGTTTCGTTTTAAAGGGAGCTCTTTTCTGACTTTGTTGAGGAGGTAAGGAGACAAAGAACAGAGTGACTACTTAGGTAATTATTAAATGTTGTTTATTCAAGCTATCTTGTCAAATTCTTGCATCAATATTTTATCATGCTATCATTCCACCACAATCCTATCAGATAAGTACGAGAATCACGGTTTGCATTTCATAGATAAATGGCAAGTACAAGACAAAGCAATTGCCCAAATCCTGCTCTTAGGGAGGAAAAGGCAAGTTTAAAATACAAGTTTCTTGAGTTTTCAGTGTTTTTTTGTTTGTTTGTTTGTTTGGCTAGCCCCACTTCCCTGGTATAGGTGGTAAAAGCAGAAACAGCAACAGCTATGTCTTTCCCCAGACTTCAGCAAGTAAGCCTTAAGTTTTATTGTCCTGATGTGAATTGGGTACCAGAAGGGTCCTTAGAAGAGTTTTCATTCAAAGGAAGCTTGAGCTTGGAAGGAAATCTGCTCGAAGGCTACTCCTGATGCCAGCGTCACTTCCGGTGCTCTGAAGAGCCTCGGCTGCGTGTGCATCTTTTAAGCAAGAAAGCAGTGACAACGTTGATGAATTGGAGTCATGAAATCGTGCTCCAGCATTTGGGTACCAAGTCTGTGAGGGCTTATTTGAAATAAAAGTTGTCATGCCGGCACGGTGGCTTCATCCACTGTTCTCCTGCATTGCTTCTGCATGCTGCATATAGTGCTTCTCTCGCCGAATTTTCAGGACAGTGGTGAAATCAGTGGCGACGTAAACACATTTTGGAAAAAAAAATGAATTTGCAAGTCTTCTCCGGTGACTTTGGAAGTAGACACTCAGCCTTGATCTTGGTTTCCTGACCTATAAATCGAGGCAGCCACCCCAACCCTCACAGGATTATCATGAGAATTAACTGAGGCAGTGTTTTTAAGTATCATTCCAGCCCCTTAGACCTAATGTGTGCAAATGCTGAGCCAGTCTCGGTTCCCCAGTTTAGCTTGTTATTTGTTGCGGGCCCTTGTTTGTTTTCCTGGCCTCCTGGCTTCCCTGGCCTCTCTGGCTCTGTGTCTCTATAACCAAATGTCATCCACAGGGTCCTAACACATCCCACTTTATAGCACAAGGATGACACATGCGATTCATTCCATTGAGAATGTTCTACTCAGTGCAGGCTGAAAGTTACTTTCTTTTTAAAAAAATTTTTACTTTAGGGAAGGGTTACAGGGTGTTCAGGGTCTCACTACTAGATTGGACTCATAGTGATGCCCTCTTCCCCGATTTACAGCCTCCCTAGAGCTGGGATTACAGGTGCGTGCCACCTTGCCTAATCTCAATCGCTGTCTCAGTGTGCCCTGGGGGTGGGGCCAGCATGGCAGGCCCAGGGGTCCAACCCCCAGCCCCTGCGCCTGAGCTATTTGGCTGGCCCTTGAAAGTTACTTTCTCATGGAAACCTTCTCACATGTATCCCCCTAAACAGGAAGAACAAGGGCCAGGCTCTTTAAGCCTACTGATCCCACTAAAAGCCAATCCTGGCCCCCAACAAATTTGCCCCACTAGAGCCCCAGGTTCTAGTTCTTTTGTTTTACTATCTTGTAAAGATACAGTGATGAAAGTCCACTGTGTAAAGATTCCCTTTTTTGGGGGGGCAGCCCTCTCGGTTACCCTTCTATCCCTTTCTTGGACAGAGACTTTCTTAGCCTCAATAATTTTGCTCTTATAAAAAAAAGATGACTTTTTCTGACTTATTTTGGGGAAAGTGAAGTTAGGGCAGGAAAAGCTTTGTAGATTCTCTCTTTTTTTTAACTTTGCTCATCAAAATAATTCTTCACTATGGCTGTATGTTGAATTGGTCTTAGAATGTTTTCATTTAGAAAGGAGAGTTGAGGTTTCTGTTTGGGCCAAGGATGTTTTTTCAATTACCCACATTGAAAGTTCTTCTAAATACTTTGAAGAGTCCTGGGACTTGAGCTCTAGCTTTAATAGTTTTTTGGAGGACTTTTTTTTTTTTTGGCAAACCTAATCTATTTTGCTTGAAGGACTATGTGAGTTTTACAAGGCTTTCTTCAGGCTTGGCACATTTTCTTGCAAAGGGACTGGAAAGTCGAAGTTATCAGAGGAATGGCATCTTTGCGATTTAAAACGGTTTCAGTTGGTGCCCTTTCTGTTCGTGGATCGTCACACTCAGTGTGACAGGACACAGTGCCCAACACTGCAGGAATGCCAAAGTGTAATTGCACTGGAAAAAATGTACACAAATAGTGCTTATCAACTCAATTAATCTCAGACTTCTTGAGCTAACAGGCGGTTCGCGGAGCAGAGTTGTGGTGTTGACCTTCAAGGAACCTATTCGTGGAAGACATGGAGACCAGCGTGTACTTTAG